ACGTGAACATAGGAGCAGAGAAACATGGAATCATGTGGTAAGACACGTTAGCTTGTAAGTAATGAAATAAGACTTTTTGATAGTTAATTTGTCTAGAATTGGAAAAGCTAGCTAAAAGTCTTTCTTTGAAGTTTTCGATCCTTCACCAGAACTTAGCGTATATGCTCACATCACTCTGCTTATCGATGATGATTTTAGATTTTAATTATGAGACAATGACCGTTTTGCCCACAGTGAGACTATACATTTGTACATCTTTCATTGTGACTTAATACTTACAAATTATTTAATTGATTTGTAATACTAAGCTTGAATGTTAGAACGTTTTTGGAGTGCCATCTCAGAGAAAGTGCAAAGTACTCAGACTACACCTTTGGCCATTTCCTCCTTATGTGCTCTGTATAACCCAGTTCTGAGACGCTGCTTACCACCCGTGCACACTAATGTGCTTGCTTCCTGCGGGGTGGGTCTTTTCTGCACGTCGAGACACATCCACATAGCTGAAGCCAGAAGGTGCCACACCCTTGCCACAGAACATTAAGCAGATAGGGGAAAAATGTAATCCCCGAGGGCTTTCATTTATTATCTAGGAGTATTATCATTAGAGCTTACTCTGTGTCATAGCTGCCAACTTTTCATTTTTCTGAAAGTCTGGATTTTTGTGCTATTGTGCTCTTTCAAATGATTGATAGTTTAAATATAGGGTTTCTGTTCTTTTTGTTCTGACAGTGATTCCTACAGAAAAGTTTGGGAGTGTGAGTACATAAAATTGTCTTATTAACAATTACGACAACAAAAAAAGAAAAAAGACATTTGAAAGTACACACAGGAGGAAGGTTCCTTGCGTAGCCCGTGCCACGGTGCCCCTAGACACAGACCTGACTGCCGCAGCCCTCTGATGATGCTTGCTTATCACTTGTATCTGTGGCTGTGCAGCCCTTCCTTGTGTCAATGAAAATGCTAAGTTGAAGATAATTTCCATTAGCCGTGTCCATATTCCAGGCGTATATCCATTTCTCTGTGCCTGGGATAGTATTTTCTTCTGCTGTATAAACTGTGTACATTTCTTACTTCTTGCCTTTCTATGCAATGGAAACCCTTCCTGCCCCTCCATTCTTTCTCTCTTTAGCTTTGGAGTACACAAACGTCCAGATTTCCTGGGAAAGGGAATTTACAAATAGGCTAAATCTGGCAGATTTTGTGCTTTGTCCTTGTAACAAGATGATTTCCATAGCCGAGTGTGGTGGCACACACCTGTAATCCTCTGGGAGGCCAAAGTGGGTGGATCGCCTGAGCTTAGGAACTCGAGATGAGCCTGAGCAAGAGCAAGATCCCAACCTCACCCCCCCTAACCCCCGTCTCTACTAGGAAAAAAAAAAAGCCACCATTGTGGCAGGCACCTGTAGTCCCAGCTACTCAGGAGGCTGAGGCGGGAGGATTTATCCCAGGAGTTTGAGGTTGCTATGAGTTATGATGCCACGACACTCTACCAAGGGTAACAGAGTGAGACAACGTCTCAAAAACAAAAAATGATATTCGTGTAAATTCAAATTATTAATAAAGAGGAATAAGAGAACATTACTTTTGCTCCTTAAATAGGAATTTTCTGAACCAACAATTATTCTTTTTGAAAGAGAAGACTTCAAAGGAAAAAAGGTCGAACTCAATGCAGAAACAGTTAATCTCCGATCCCTGGGATTCAACACACAAATCCGTTCTCTCCAGGTTATCGGTGGCATGTGAGTTATCTACTTGTTGATTCAATACAACAGATCCTTTTGAAAATCCAATTTGATCAGATTTCTCTCTCTCTTACACTAACTTACACTAATTGATTTTCTGTAAGGGTTAACAATTGTGCACCTTCAATGTATACTTCTCCCACTGGGAAAAACCGTGTAAACCATCTTTTATCTCCTAACCTAGACTTTTAGTTTATTTAAGGTAAGGATTTGTCTTTAACACCTCTCAAAGTTCTTTGCACACCAGTGCCCAGGAGATTTATTGAGTATTCTTTTTTATCAAGGTAGAAAGAGAGAGCTGACTTTTCTTATCTCCTTGAAAAAAGACCTAGTCCTTTGATTTTGGAGCTAAGAGGTGAGATTTTCCTTTAGCTAGGGATGACTAGCATATGGTATGCAGATGATTAAAAGTTAACTTGGGAGGATTTTTTTCCCCTCAACTTTGAATAATTTTGAAATCGAATAAGATATAAAAATGTACTATCAACGAAATAAATGTTTTTTAAAAAGTACTTTTTTTTCTTACAGAAATAATAGATACATTCTACCTACATGCATCAAATGTTAGGGGATATATACTCTAGATATTTAAAAAGCAATTACGGAAGATTAGGGTGGTAGAATTATGGGTGACTTTTTCAACAGCTTTTAATGAATATTTTGTTTTTTATGATTAGATGATTAAAATGGTATTTTAGAGTTCCAAGATTAAAATTCTTTCTTTACTTTTTTTTTTTTGAGAAAGAGTTTATGTCACCGTTGGTAGAGTGCTATGGTGTCACAGCTCATAGCACCCTCCAACTCTTGGGCTTACACTGTTCTCTTGCCTCAGCCTCCCAAGAAGCTGGGGCTATAGGTGCCTGCCACAACGCCCAGCTATTTTTTTGTTGCATTTGCTATTGTTGTTTAGCTAACCCAGGCTAGGTTCAAACCCACCAGCCTCAGTGCATGTGGCTGGCACCATACCACTGTGCTACGAGCACCAAGCCAGAATATTCTTTCTTGATGTAACATATCAGCAAGAGAGGAGGGGTAGGCTCAGCACCTGTAGCTCAGCGGCTAGGGCGCCAACTACATACACTAGAGCTGGCAGGTTCGCATCCAGCCTGGGCCTGCCAAACAACGACAACTACAACCAAAAATAGCTGGGTGTTTTGGTGGGTGCCTATAGTCCCAGCTACTTGGGAGGCTGAGGCAAGAGAATCCCTTATGCCCAGGAGTTTGAGGTGATGTGGCATTCTACTGAGGATGACATAGTGAGACTGTCTCCAAAAAAAAGAGAGAGAAGAGGAGAGGGAGGGGTATTGGGTATGTACATGGCAGTTTGTGCTTGCAACCAGAGTTCCTCAGGTATGTAGGGCCAGCATCTCTGGGTAGAAGGGACCTGAGAATTTTAATTATTTTGGATTTGAGGAAGATTTCTCATTTTAAATAAAACTTTATATTTTTTGTTCAATTAACTCTTATGTAGCACTTACCAAGTACCACACACTAAGAGCTTTGCAAATATCAACTATAGTAGAACCTCTGTAAGTTGAGTACCCAAGGGACTGTTAAAAACTGGTCAACATACAGAGGTGATCAACATAAGGAACTAGGCCAACTGTGCTGATACCTACATGTGGTGCCTGTCTGGTCTATGAAAATTAGGTCAAATTAAGGAGGTGGTTAATGTAGGGAGATAGATGGTCAACTAGGGAGGGTCTACTGTATTTAATAACTTACAAAATCCGTTACTATAACTACAGTTGTATTATGAATAGCTCATAGCAAGGACTGGGGAGTCCCCCTAAAAGGCCATTTTCTCTTTCATTGTTTTATTGGAAGAAAAACTTACCTATTTCTCTTCACATATAGTTTCTGTAGGCATAAAGTCATATACTAAAAACGTGCTATTTGTCAAAAAAAGGCTGCTTTACGTATTCTAGAGAATAAGGTGGTTTTATCCTCCCTAATGTTTATGTAAAGTATAAAATTCAGTCTACAAAATTGAAAACATTCTAAAAATAAATGTAATTAGGGTCCATTGTCATGGAAATTGCCACTTACTATGGTTCTCTCCCTTTTTTTTCAGATGGGTTACTTATGAGTTTGGCAATTACAGAGGCCGACAGTTCTTACTGTCACCAGCTGAAGTACCTAATTGGTATGAATTCAGTGGCTGTCGCCAAATAGGTTCTTTACGACCTTTTGTACAGGTATTTTTCTCTTCCCCACACTGTGAGTAGACTCTTCTCTGAATTTGTTTTTTTTTTTAGTAAATACTATCCAACTTTTTAGTTTCAGTTTAAACTTTAAACCTGGCCCCACCTTCCAAAATTTGGGCTGTGTTTCAGGTGTTAAGAAGTGTAGCTGCTTCAGAAATGCTATCAAACTCAAGCTCAAACCTGGCCGTGTCCCCTGCCCTGGGTTGTCTGTAGGCAGGCTTCCTGCCCCAGGCACTTTGACATTTTGTCAACTCTTCTCATTGAGAAATTCCTAAAACCTCAGAGACTCTTGGGTACAGTGATTATCCCTAATCCATACCTCATTCTGGATTCTTCCCAAAATTAACATTCCTTCAGTGCTTCTAATAGTATATCTTGTATATGACCATGGTTGGGGTTTTTGTCTTCCAGAAACGAATTTATTTTAGACTTCGAAACAAAGCAACAGGGTTATTCATGTCGACCAATGGAAACTTAGAGGATTTGAAGCTTCTTAGAATACAAGTCATGGAGGACATCGGTGCTGATGATCAGATTTGGATTTATCAAGAAGGATGCATAAAATGCAGGGTGAGCTTTTAGGATTCGACAGGGGTCTGCAGTACGTTTTGCTAGGAGGTGACTCATCCTTTAACATGCTTTTGCTCTTTCTTCACGGAGATGCTATTTCACAATTCCTGGAGCACTTTCAAAAATAATTGGAAATTTTTTTCATGAACATGTTTTTCAGCTCTGTTTAGAACCAGTCTAAGAACTTAAAATGGGGGGGGGTAAATCTTGTACTGATTCAAGGTAGAGCATTTATTTCTATATTGATTTTTTTATATAATAACAGAAAAGGGAAGTGTTCAATTCTTACTTCTTATAGAAATAACTATGGGTGTGGTAGCTCACCCCTGTAATCCTAGCACTTTGGGTGGCTGACGTGGGTTGACTGCCTGAACTCACAGGTTTGAGACCAGCCTGAGCCAGAGTGAGACCTCATCTCTAAAAATAGCCAGGCGTTGTGGTAGGCCCCTATAGTCCCAGCTACCTGGGAGGCTGAGGCAAGAGAACTGCTAGAGCCCAAGAGTTGCCATGAGCTATGACGCCACAGCACTCTACTGAGGGCGACAAAGACTCTGTCTCCCCCCTCAATAAAAATAACTATATGGGCGGCGCCTGTGGCTCAAAGGAGTAGGGCGCTGGTCCCATATGCTGGAGGTGGTGGGTTCAAACCCAGCCCTGGCCAAAAACTGCAAAAAAATAAATAAGTAAAAATAACTATAAGCTTTGAGCCTGGGCATGGTGACTCATGCCTGTAATCCTAGCACTGTGGGAATCCAAGGAGGGAAGATTGCCTGAACTCATGAGTTTGAGACCAGCCTGAGCAAAGTGAGACCATGTCTCTACTAAAAATGGAAAAATTAGCCAGGCATTGTGGTGGGCTCCTATAGTCCCAGCTACTTGAGAGGCTAAGGCTGGAGGACCACTTGAATCCAGGAGTTAGAAGTTGCTGAGAGCTAGGCTGATGCTATAGCATTCTAGTCTAGGGAAAAAAAGGTAAACTCTTATCTCAAGAAAAACAAACAAACTACAAGCTCTATAAACTCTAGTGCTATGAACAAAAATCACTCTTGTGTCCATTTTGGGGAACTCCACATAATAACTGGATGAAGGGTGAAGAGATATCTCTGTGTATGCAACACAGTCCGTTTCCTAATTATTATGTAAACTGGAAAGTGACCCATTCCCTCCTGTGTCACTTCTGCTGCAAGACCTTTAAAACCTAAATATAGTAAGATTTTATGCGAGCAGCTCATGCTTCTATGGTAGATAACTTTTTACTTCTTGACTTTATGGGCTTGACTGCTCCAGATTAAAAAAATACACACACACACAAACTGGTAACCCGTGAGTCAGCAGAAGGCATACAGCCTTGTGAAAAGGAGCACAACTTGTTAATTGGGTCTGTTGTGCTTGAGGGAAGATGATCCTTTGTGTAAACAGAAGTACTGTTGAGACATGCATAGAAGAAACAGCACAGAAACAGAAGGAGCTATGATAAAGCAGCAGGAAAAAGAAGCTAGCATCCACCTTTGAATTATCTTAATTTAAGAAAATGGTGCCTTTCGGCAATTATTTCTCACTAACATGTCGGTGATGTTGTCTAGCAATTTTGAATTCAATAAGCCAGTGAGAAAGACCACCGGTGTCCTAAATTATCACAATGCTTTTTATCTCAGTATAATACACTTTTAATAAACATTTTTATAGCAGTATGTGTTCATGGCATGTGAACATATGACTAAGGGAAGGGCTCATAAAATCTCTGCATTTAAACACCCTCTACTGAGTTTATGTTTTTTATACTGTTTTTTCTTTCTCTTTTTATGGCTATAGAGCGTGTCTATGTAGAAAATTTTAGACACTTGTCATGAAGGAAAGACAATGGAAGCTAATAAGTGCAACTTCAAGTTTTAAAATGATGAAATGCACTTTAGCCACTTCAAAGCTACAGAGTTAGACGTGCAGTCTTACACTAGAAGGTCAGGTCACGCAGAGATGGGTACGTCAGGGGAGATTTAGGTATAGACCTAGCCTTAGATCATGGTCACTCTCGACAGGGAAAAGTATCATGATTGGGCAGCTCTAATGTTCTGGGGCTTCCCTTACTAGTAAGACAGAGTCCTGCAAAGGGTAGAAGTCTCCTATGATGGATAAGGATTGAACTTTCCATCACTCGTGTCATCTGAAATAAAGGGGTATGCTTTGTTGTTTGATTCTGGTTACTCTGGCTAAAAGCTGAACTGCCTCACGTGGATTAAACGAAGCAAGGAACTAAGATAAGTTTTAAAATCAGTTTAACCAGGGAAATAATGGCTGGGAGACTAAAGCGGGTATCCATCTCTAAGATGTCTTTCCCACTGAACAGATAGCAGAAGACTGCTGCCTGACAATCGTGGGCAGCCTGGTAACATCCGGCTCCAAGCTCGGCCTGGCCCTGGACCAGAACGCCGACAGCCAGTTCTGGAGCATGAAGTCGGATGGCAGGATCTACAGCAAGTTGAAGCCACATTTAGTTTTAGATGTCAAAGGTAAGGATAAGTTCCTTTATTATAATGCGTCTTTCTTTAGTTAAGGAGAAATCTATGCTTAACTTTTGAAAACGATGAGTATGTTATTTTAATAATGGAAAGACAGCCCCTGTGTGCCCACTGCTGTGCTAACTACCAAGTACATTATCTTAGGTGGTCTTCATGGCAACCCTGTGAAGTCTACCTTGACCCTGCCTCCCTCTCCTCTCCTCTCCTAATTTTATGGCCCAAAAGCCCCCCAAAAAACAAAAAAACTGAGTCTCAAAGAGGTTAATCAGTTTGGCCATGATCTCAGTGCTGAAGTGGAATCTGGACTATTTATCATAATAATGTCAGACTAAAAATTACAAGCTAAAAGACTGCTCTCGCCTAGTTAGTATAGGTGATTATTCTCATGTATGTACATGTAACCTTTCATTGAAAGATTTAAGATCAAAAAGGAATTAAAACAAACACCACAGCCTAGAGGCTTTCAATAGAACATGTGTTCAGTGAACTGAATCCAGGGAACTGAGGGTGCTGGGGAAGAGGTGTTGTGGATGAGTGGGTCTCAAACTGTATTTGTGTTAGAATCACCTGGGAGGCTTGCTAAAACAGATTGCTGGGCCTCATCTGGTCTCAGGTGGGGCCTGAGAATTTGCCTTCCTAACAGGTTCCCATGTAATGGCAGTGCTGGGCTGAGAAACACACCAGAACTTTGGATAGTAATTTTTAAACAACAAAAATGACCTATTATGTACAGGAACTCAATGAACCTAGTGGTGGTGGTATTGACAAACAGATGGTGTGTTTTATTCATGTCATCTGGCGGTAATTTTGCTTTACTTTATTACTAGGCATCAGGAAAGCCAGCCTGAATGTTCTGTAAGTTTGGTGAACTGGTGATTATGTAACCATATACAGTCTGCAGGTATACCACCACATACATGCTCCATTTTAAATCACTGCTAAAAACTGACTTAATTTTATTTTAATCAAGGCTTTCAGCCAACGCTGTTACTAAAGGTTAAGATGTAAGGGCAAAGAAACAGCTGTAATCTGATTTTTAAAAAAAATGAGTAAGTCTGAACATTTTCATCAGAAGCTTTGGTAACTGTATGGGGACAAAAGTGGCTGTCCCTTCTGGATGACTTCCAGGTGGGTAGTGGTCAACCCACTTAATAGTAGAATTAGAATCACAAAGAACTCAAGAAGTTGGAAAGGTGCTCAGAGGCAAACGCAGAGTTTAAGGCAGAGTATTCACTTAGAAAGCTCAAAGCAAGCAATGTAACTACAGGCTGGAGGGGAACCAGAATGATTACAGAAAACAGAGGTAGCACCTCGGATGTAAGAAACAGAAGGCACGTTCAGAAATGAGTGTCAGCATACTCCTCTGTCAGCGTGTAGACAGGTGAACCACTCTCCGAGTCCATCAGTCTAGGTGCAGACTGGTCAAGAGTCACCATCAGAGCCTTCTTTAATCTGCTTTACTGACTAGCGCTCCTCCGTCTATACTACATAGTTTCAAAACCTCCAGAGAAGCCAAAGAAATGGGACTGAATTGGAAAAATGGAATTTTTGAGGAAATGTTAGAAAAATTAAGCTGTTTATTGCCCAAAGGAAGACCTTTTCTTATGGTGATCTGCTTCCCGTGTCTGGGGTTCAGGTCACTGATCCCCATATACAGCATGTCCTCTTTCCTTCTTTCAGCCCGTTATTTGCCGGGTACCCACTACGTGGCAGGCTCTGAGCTGGGCCCTGGGGCTATCAAGAAGAAAAGAAAAAAATGCTCTTACCCTGGTCTTAGACAGCTTACAGTCCACCACAGAGGATGTACCCCCCACCTGCTGTGTTAGCAGTGGGCAGAAGTCAGTCACGAGCCTCCTGGTCTCGGCTGGTGAGAATCGAGGGGTTCTAAGAGGTTCTTCCTTGAGCCCTCCCTTTAAAGCGCTGAGGCCTTCCTCACATACGTTACAAATTACCTACGTGCCTCTTGAGTAAGGATGATACCCTGCGTAAGTCTGTGAACTCAGTGTCTAGCATGGTAACTACACTAGATGGGTCCTTATTAACCTGAACTTAAATGTCTCAGAATGTGGGAGCACGATGCCCTCTGGTGGATGTGAGAGGGCAGGGCCACACAGCCCACATAGGAGGCAAAGGAAATAAACTCATCTCTTTGGTGCAGGAAACCAGGATTTTCATTAGCTGCAACTGTTGAGCCACTGACTGCCTATAAATAGCTGTAAGAGTTACTGGATCACGTGTCTTTCTTCTAGCCCGACTCCTTGTGTTTTGGCAGACATTTATATATTATCCCAGAGCACGTACCTTGTAACAAGAGTGAAAGGTGATTCACACACTTGAAAAATTTTAAGTCTAGATGATTTAAATTCTTTCCAAAGGCAAAAGAATTAATCAAATTATTTCCTCAAAAACTGTCTAGTTTTCATGATTCTAATTAGAATTGATGTGATATACATAAAAAATGTTAAGCTACTATAATCATGAAGAATGAGAAGAGATGAGACTGTGACTTTAAGATAATACTTGCTGAAATCTCAGTGGAGTAGTTGTTTCTGTTTTGTCAGAGGATGGGATTTACTGGTGGTGGCAACTATTGACTTCAGCCACCTCCAGCCCCCACCCCACCCACCAAATTTACACATAAAAGGCCCAAGGCCTTACCCCTGTATCCTGTACTACACCTTGCTGGGTAGAAGCTATAGATTATCAATGACAATAAACCAATCTCTTACAAGTAAAATAATTTCCTTGCTTGACTACCTAGATCTATTACATAATTCAGAACTTAATATTTTTTAAATGCTTTAAGTGAGGGAAGAATCTTCATTATTTCTTTTCCTAAGAATAAAGCATGATTTTAATATCAGCCATACCCTATATTTAGATACACAGATTTTTATTTTGATGGGGTCCTTGGTAATATAATCTTGATGCAGAGGCTTTATGCTAAAAAAGGATAAAGTATCTAAAACAATGTTTATTCCACCTGGAAAAAGAAAAGAAAACTCCCAAATTTGTGGTATTAATGATCCTTCCTCATTGAAAGAAGCCATGAGGCTATTTTTAACACCAAAGTATCAGAAATATTTACTAAGCACCCTTGGAAAGTGTTTTCATTCTGGTGAAAGGGAGTTAGGGAGTTCATGCCACTACTTGTACAGTTCAGTGGCATTCAGCATCTTAAACGCCATGAATTTTCTATACCCCAACCCAGAACCCAGCAGTGGGAGTGCTACCCTGTCCCTTTGCATACTTCAGTGTCATTCAAACCTCCCCTTTGTCCCCATACAGCCATTTTTCATTGTTTATGCAGAACTTGCTCCCCTTCCAGCTTTCCATCACTGCCAGGGCTGCCTGCTTTTCCTCACTGGTATCTCAAATCCACGATCTCTCTACGGTATACATTCTACAGTCTCTTCACTCCTTTTCCATGCTGGAGATTTGCCCTGTGTAAGAACTGTGTAGAAAAAGGAGCCCTGTGTGAAGTAGCTGGTGCCCCTCTGACGGGATTTTGACATACGGGCTCACTTTGGCCCACAGCCGGGGAGTATCTCATCCCATGGTGTGGTGTGGTCCGGGCTTTGTTTCCTCCAGGCGTGCAGTTTTACACCTTGTTTACTTGTGCTATAGTGGTGTTGAAATTAACCTTGTCTGTTACACTCCCTTTACAGCAGGCATGCTATTATTTTCCTTTCTTTCTTTTAGGGGGTACACAGTATGATCAAAATCACATTATCCTCAACACTGTCAGCAACGAGAAGTTAACCCAAGTGTGGGAAGCCATGGTCCTGTAAACCTGAACGGAGAATGCAGGAGGAATCTTTCTGGAGGTCCTTCCAGCCATCTTACTTAAACAAAAGGATGATGCTGATGGCCGAGCCAGTGTGAAAGTGGCTCTGCTCCTTCTTCGGTAACTCTAAGTTCAACCAGAATCACACTGCTGTGACTGAATTGTCTCACCCTTTCAAAAGACTACGATAGTTTTAAACTGATAATTTGTCTTTTATTTCATGTCCTTGTAGTAGCTGCTTAAACAGGTTGCCTTATTAGCAGCTTTTGAGTGTTTTTAAAAAATGTTACAGTAAGACATCAAAACTAGAAACATTTAAGATTATTTCCAAAGATAGTGGCAGGACAGAACAGGAACAAGTTTACTGACTTTGTGGACCTACAAATCCCTTATACTTAAAGGGAAGGGTAAAAGCTCAAGTCTGTAAGGTAGAAGACTTTTTGGCATCTGAGAAGAAATACCTGTAATTTTGGTTCTTGGCCTTAATATTTTCTAGAACCATTAATTATGCTGCAGGGCAAAGTGGGAAAGCCTTACACATGCAGATATATTTTAAGGAACTCAGTATAAATAAAATGCTATTTTCTTTCTGCTATTAAAAACTGGTAAATTTATAAAATTCCATGTCCATGAGCAGGATTTGAATTATTTTACTCACTCGTGGGCTGCCCTAGAATGTCACAAGAAAGAAGTTAGTGCCTTTCTCGCAGCTGCTGCTGATAGTGATTACATGACCTGATTTATTAGCCCAAGGTTATACAATATATTGCCGAACTCAGACCCTTTAGTCTAATTTCCTGCCTTCCTATCTAGCTGCCTCAGCCTTCCTTGTGGTCTTCCACAACTGTGCCCCGGGGCTCCACAGAAGGTGGGCAGCCTCAGGTCTCTGGGTACAGCGCCAGTGTCACTGCCTTCTGGCAGCAGAATTAAGAGGTGTGAAACGGGGATGACCAGCAATTATGTCCAGGAAGAAAAGGGAAGAAGACTTTAATTGATGTTTGTTGGTCAAATCTTAGAACTCTGAGAACCCTAAAATGCAGCAAGCATGTCAAGAATGCAAACTGAAACCATCTAACTACTGAGATACCCTGGCCCTCATGGTGTGACATGGTGGAACAGTGGGCTCTAGTTTTGAACCAAATTGCTAACACTTCCTTGAATACGTGTCCTCTACTTTTCGGCCTCGTCACTGAATACCAGTGCTCTTGTCGCTGGTAGAACAAACCTTGCTTCCTTTCACCTGTTCCAGTGTGTTTCCGATTCTAAGACGATCCTCCTAGAGTCTGTGGTGGAGACTGCACGTACGGTCATTACAGCGGTGTATCCTCAGTCTGCAGTAAGATTTGCACGTGCACAGTGCCATCCAGCAGGCGTGATGCCATCCAGCAGGCACTGATGTTAGGCCTTTTGTGCAGCATGGCGGGGAAAGACATTCCACGACAGCCTGTGATCTTGAATAAACTTGTTTCTGGTTAATGACACTGATGAAATCTGAGAGATGAGGCTGCTAAATGGACTCTAACACATCAACGAGTCGGCTAGCAGATGAGACCAAAGTGCCTGATGATGAGGTGGGCTGAGGGTGCTTTACTATTAACCTAACAGCAGGCCTTGCTGACCGCCCTCTTTCCACACTGGGTTATTTCTGGGCGTGGAAACAAGGGTGAGGGAGGTCCTGACTCAAGCATTTTGCCCCCTCACGACCACCTGGGAGCCCTCATGAGAAAAAAGCTGCACCTACTCCGGACAAAGTCCAGAGGAGCTGGTATTTACAACTGGAAAATCATGTCATGTCTTTTGAAATATACCTGTACTAAGACCAGTAATTCTAGAGAAAAGCCAGCTTCCAACACACTACTAAATAAGGGTCTAATAGGAATAAACCAAGCAATAGGTCTGTATCAAAGGCTAGAAGCAAGCATCTACTGCACAGTCCTGGGCACAAGTCCAGCAGGAAATAAATCACTTACCTCAAGCAAATGGGAAGGACTAGAGGTTCAGGGTGTGCACTGAAATGGCCTGGCTGGTGAAATACCTGAAAGCAAGCATCTGAGGTCAGCTCATGCGGAGCTTTGGGCTCTATGGAATGGCTGCAGTTTCCACAGAAAGGCTTCAGAGAAGCAGGTTTCCGTTGCTGAAGGAGTCTCACCCTTATGCAAAATGTAAGGGTTTAAAAAAGTTTTTTGGCTTCCTTTCAAGAAAGTAAACAAATTAATTATGGGCCACACTTTTATATATGACTCAGATTCAAAACTTTGATGGCTGTGATCCCCACATTAGGTGGAGGAATAAAAACAAAAGGAAAGCTTGGCCAGTGGGAAAAGTGCTCATTGATGAACTCAAGGAGGAGCTGGCCTTACATAATCTTGTCATGCTCATGTCCATCTGAAAACTGCCAGTTCCAGGATCCCATGAACCTTAAGATGATAAAACAGAGTGGGAGCTACCAGAACAGGTGCTACAGCCACCCGCAAAGCCAGTGAGGAAGAACAGCTCGAAAGAGACCACACACAGCAGCTCCCACTGCCGAGACTGGACAAGTCCAAATGCTGGTACTTTTGTATCAGTTACTGGTCAAAAAGGCTGTTTATTTTTTTAAGCTTATATCATAGGATTTTATAGTCTGATGTGGCCAGAAAAGAGTTTCAGCCCACAGGCACTCACCAAATAAGAGAGTCAACAGTCACCAAACCGCATTTATTTAAACGACATTAATTACAGTCTTTCCTCGTGCATGTCCTCTCTCTACCTTCCGGAAGGCTTCTGGAACTTTAGAAAAAGGGAACGTTTGTTCAATAACTGGTTGAATCTGTAAAACACAAGAAGTTGGTGCATAAAAAGCTGACATCCTTTTTTTTTTTTTTAAGACAGTTTTATTACGTCGCCCTCAGTAGAGTGCTGTGACATCACAGTTCACAGCAACCTCAAACTCTTGGGCTTACACAATTCTCTTGCCTCAGCCTTGCAAGTAGCTGTGACTACAGGCGCCGGTCCCATCCCCTGGCTATTTTTTTGGTTGTAGTTGTCATTGTTTAGCATGCCCAGGCTGGGCCCGAACCCGCCAGCCCCGATGTCTGTGGCCAGCACCCTAACTACTGAGCTACGGGCATTGAGCCAAAGCCCACATCTTTTGAGGCAAGTGACTTCTGTAGTTAGTTTCTTCGAGATATCCCTGAAGGGTAGATATCTCTCTCCAGGGCAGTGGGACCGAGATATCCCTGAAGGGTAGGGAACTATACAGTTCTCCACCTAGGTGATACCCAGCTGTGATGCTCCCTCTGCTTCTGCCTCATGGTGCCCCCTCCCTCCCAGGTTCCCCACCCAATCTGACTGCTGCTTCCTGCCAGCTTGTCACTCTCTCACTCAGAACCTTCCACAGTTCCCAACCTGGCATCCTGAGACCACTGCCATCCTGACCCCAGCCCTCACAGGAGCCCTGTACTTTACTGAAATGTCCACTGTCATTTTGTGAACCTGGGATGTTTCTGCTTCTGCTCATACAAGAGATTTAGTTCAGAAATCCCTCTGAAAATTCACCTTTCCAGCCCACTCTCACATTACCTTCCCGAAGCTCCCAATTTATAGTATGTTTTTCCTTTCGACTGCCGTGAGAACCATGAGGCCCTCCTCACAGACGGCACTTGTTCTGAGGACATGTCTCAGCCCCCCTGCAGTGCACGGTAAATGCCAGAGAGGGTGTCCCACGGTCCTTGATGTCTGAATCTCCATAGTCCCCTTACAGATAGTACACATATTTTTTTTTTAACTTGTTAAATCTCAACACAGTTCCAGGCACTGCTTGCCTCTTTTGTACCCTCCACAGCACCCTGCATAATTCTGGGCACACAGCAGAGCTTAATATCACCTAGGTGGAGAACTGTATAGTTAAGTGGGAAGTGAGTCTTATGTGGGCTTTCTGGGCTTCAGGAAAACTTGTCCCAGGCTGCAGCTGCCCTAGGAGGCTTTGCTAAATAGGAGCACAGCTGGTTAGAATCTATGGGAAAGACTGCAGCCAGCTCATAAATGTTTGAATGCTGCTGGGTCTTTTTACTGTACCATTAGCACTGCCAGCAGCCTCCCTCAGAAGCTAGGTTCCATGTAACACTCTCTCCCCACATGTAGAAATCCAACTGAACTTTTCCTATTCAAAACTTTAAGCAAAAATCAGTAATTGTCTACTGGGTATTTTAGTGGCCTGCCTGCCACAGCTATGCTGGCAGGGACAAGTTATCAGCAGACATAAGCCAACTGTACATTTTATGCTCTTTTCCTTTTACAAGAGGAAGGTGTTCTTGCAACATTCAGATGCGTCTGATGAACCTTCCTCTTACATGAATTTCACAGCTCAGCCACCTGAAGACCATCTTGGATTACAAAAGTTCCCTTTTCCAAAGAGCTAATAACATTTTTGCACCCACAAATCACAAAAAGTTTATAATAAAACTGAGGACGTACGTACTGTCCTCACAGTATGCCAGGCACTGTTCTAAGGGCTCTATGTATTTTATCTCATTTACTCCCCATAGCCTTTTTTTAAGGTAGGTATTATCATTCCCATTTCACAGATGAAGAAATTAAGGCACAGAGTTAAGTTGTTGCCCACTGTCACACTACTGCTAAGGTGTAGGGTAGGACTCTCCCTGGCGCCACTGTCTCTGTTCTCCGAGCTCTGCACTCAGCCCTTCATACAGCGTGCACTGCTTTCTACAGCCCCCTTACGATTCCAAAGGAAGGGAAAGGCAGCCAAGGGTCACAGCAACATCCCAGCCTGCACCTGGCCTGCCTCCCCTGAGCCAGCTGTGGATCTGCTCTGGGCTCTGCGTTCAGACGTGTAGTGCATGTGCCAAC